ACACCGTCTCCCGAGCGACCCCGTGTGTCGCCCTGGAGAAGCGCTTGCGTCCGCTCCTCCTCCGTAAGGTCACTACAAATCACTCTGCAAGACACTCGCTTCTGGGGAGCTGCCCGGAGGAGACAGCTAATCCCCGCCTCCTTGCGGGCTTGACTTACACAGATGGCATCTGCTGACCTTAGCCTTCTCAGAGCCATCTTATTTTGAGGGCTGCAACGCTGGGCCCCCCGTCTACAGTTACCACGACTAAAAATACCTGGGAGCCTGAGGAATCTTCAAGGGGACTTTGCAGCCCGGGCTACCAGATCTCAGGGTAGGGGCCTGGTTCCTGTGCTGGTCTGCATATTCTCTACCCGCCCCATATTTCCCCGGGTGGCAGATGGGAAGCCAGTGTTTACCCTGAGCCTGGGGTGTCGCCTTTTCCCCCCAAAATGCACCCAGTGGTGATAATTCTGGAGGCATCGTGACTACGCAGCCACCTTCCCTGAGTGTCACACCAAAGCTCCGCCTTTCCCACGGCAATGTAAGCTTGCATCCACGCGTGTCGGCCACCACCCCTCCCCCAACACACACACACACCATCTGCACCTCCCAGCCCCCAACAGTGTGATTTGGGAGCTTCCACCCAAGTCTGGAGCCAGAGAAAGAGAGATGCATTTGAGTTGCTTAGGGGCTGATGTTAGGAGGAAAGTAAGCCCACACTGAACTGTGCGTATGTCTCTGCACCTTTGTGTGTTGGTTGACTCCGTGAGCGATGTATCACCCACAGTTATTCATGTCCAGTAGATGCGCCTCCACCAGCCCCTGCCTCCTTTCCTGGTGGGCTTCAATAAACCGGGGTGCTTCCGCCTTGCACAAATGTGAGAGCCACTCAGAACACGTAAGTGAATGTATGAGCACATTGTCCCTGGACCACAGAGGAAGTGGTGTGTGTATGTGTGTGTGTGTGTGTGTAGGCAGGTAGGTCGGTACGTGCATGTGAATAGAACATATACCAGAAACTGGCAGTGGTTACTAGGGAGCAGGATTGATGAACCGGGGTACCAGAGAGATGTATTTTTATTTTCAAACCTTTCGTGGTTGTTTTAGACAACTTGTTCACCCATAAAATAAGAGATGATATTTGATCATGTGGTCATCTGAGTCCCTTCTCTAAAAATCTATAATCCTATGAAAGTGATATATATTTTATGCTCCCCCTCATCTCTTTACTTTAAATCCAACTCTTATGCTATATAAAAATCAAATATTAAATTCAACTCAGATTATATAGAAACACCTCATTGGTCCAGCCTTGTTTGAGAATGAAGTTTCCTGTCCTGAATTCTCCATGTCAGTGACTCTAAGCCCTCTACATTGCCGCGGTTTGGAGCAGTTTTAATGGAGTATTTGGTAAGTTGTGTGGTGGACCTTTCTATACCCTTTTCATCGCAGCTCTGCTGAGAAGTGCCTCACATCCCCTCCCGTTCCCCTCGTGAGAGTTCGGTGGTGTTGAGTGCGTCCACAGAGATGCGCAGCCATCCTCACACTCTAATTTTAGAACATTCGCCACCCAGAAAAGAAACCCGATACACACGAAGCAGTCCTCTCCATTCTCAGCTTCCAGCAACCACCCATCTGTGTCTGCCTCCGTGGCTCTGCCTATTCTAGACATTTTCCACAAATAATAATAATATTTTCCACAAATAATACGTGGTCGCTTGGTAGGGTGGCCTCCAGTGCCCACAGCCTGGTGGATGCACGTGGCTTTGTCAGGGCTCCGAAGCTGGGCGTCCATCAGGTGACTTCTTGAATACTTTACCTCTGACCCTCGACTCCGGATGGAGCCACCCCTCCCCCGTTCTGGTCCCCTCATTTTTTGCCAAGTTGGCCATTGGCGCATACACTAGATCAGGCCGGAGGGCTCACGCCTTCTCTCATGCCAGACTCATTATGTGAACCTGCTTGGTGTATTTCTCCTGGAGTGATTAAACAAGCCAAAATGTTTCCTTCTTTTATTGCTATCTTGAGCATCATGCAGTCAGCTACATTCCATATTGGCGATAAATCCCCCGCAAGTATTTGGTGATCTCTCTGGTTTAAGCGGTGCTAAACCCTCTGACTTCTTTTATCCTTCCCTCTCCCCTTTCTTAAAATAGCCTGCAGCCCTCATGTCAAGAACCACATCTGCCCTTCCCTTTCTCTGAAATGGCGTAACCATCAAGAAACGGTGTGCACATAATCAAAGCACACTTGGATACAAAGCCTCCAGGCAGGGTGGGGCAGGCCCTTAGTCAAGACACCCAGGTCTGTCAAGTGCAGTGCTTGCCGGAAAGAGAGGCCACCTGCCATCTAAACTGTCCCGGGAAGTAGACTTCCTTTGCGTCTTGGTAGGAATGGGGTGAAGGAGGGAGCCCAAACTGAAGCCCTGTCCTGGACCAGATCCTCAGGGTTGTTGGAGGGTGGAGTCAGCTTGGCAAGGAGGGAGCTCTCGTCCTGAATTTGGCTGAGGGAGCATGGCACGGGTTCCTCATCTTACACTTACAACTGAGAAGCGTGGTCACCCTCCCTGGGAACAGCCCCGGGTCGTTTTGTTTCCAGAGAACCAAGAGAACCCAGTCTTTGACAGGGACACCAATGCTTGGTGGGCCATGGCCTGGGCCAGGGAAGGGATGGCAAGTAGAACCATAGCAGGCACGCGTAACCAGCTGCTGCACGGCCAAAGCTCTGGTCCTGAGCGGCCGGAAGCCACTGTCCAGCCTCAGATGCCAGACTTGGCAGGAAATGCTGACTTATGGTTGATCTGAGTGCAGGTGAGCCCGTGGGCCGGGGCACAAGGTATGTTCAGGACCTATTGTGGGGCATCCCAACAGAATCTGATCTCGAAGATGTGGAAGGAACCCAACATTGCAAATGGGCAGCAAAAAGTTTGGGTGCATCCACTCCTGGATAACCTGACATCAGGGGACTCTGCTGAGCTCACTCCTGGACAGACAGCAGGTAGGACAGGACACCCTCAGGCTCAACCCCAGGTGGTTAGAATTCAGGCAGACGCCCGATGGTCCTGCCATTGACAGAGCTGGAACATAATCCACTTCATAAGTGACCCTGCATTGCCCTCTGGTGGTCATATTTGTGAACTGCATCTTGGTCTGGAAGCCTCTTGCACTTAACAGACATACTCAGCAATTGAGCTTTGTTCTAATTTTACAAACGCACGGGAAGCCAATCCTGCTGTGAGGTGAGCATAATAAGCAAGAAAAGTCAGTGCACTTCCTGCCATCTTCCAGTTCCTCCAGTGGTCTTAGACAACTCAGCTCTTGACACATACACTTATCTGTGTCACGCCAGCAATCCTCAGGGGTTGGTCATACCCATTCACATGTTACCCACGAAGGAACTGACCCAGAGAGCAAGTGTCACTCTTGCTGTAAGAATAGGATGCTCAGTAGCCGGCGCTGTGGCGTAGTAGGCTAAGCCTCCACCTGCGGAGCCAGCATCCCATAGGGGTGCCGGTTCGAGTCCCAGCTGCTCCTCTTCTGATCCAGCTCCCTGCTAATGTGCCTGGCAAAGCAGTGGAAGATGACCCAAGTGCTTGGGCCCCTGAACCCACGTGGGAGACCTGGAAGAAGCTCCTGGCTTCAGATCAGCCCAGCTTTGGCTATTGTGGCCATCTGGGGAGTGAACCAGCTGGTGGTGACTGGAACACTGGGTTCTAATGCTGGACCTCCTCTAAACTCTGGCTGGCTGTCCGTCTGCCTCTCTCTCCCCTCCTCACCTTCTAGGCTACCGGTGGGCAGCAGTACCCACTCTCGCCTGTAGATGGCAGCCTCCACTTGATGGAGCCTAAAACGTGGGTCCCAGCCTTGGATTTGTATTTTCACCTGGAGGGTGGTGGGTGTTGTCCCCCCACTAAAGATTCTGACTTAATTGGATTTTTTAAAACTCCTCAGGTGGCCGCGGGTCCGTGGGTTCAGTCGTGGGCAGCTTGTTTCACCATCTGTCCTCAGCCCGCGCCCGCGGAGAGAAACGGGGAGCACCCATCCAGATGTCCCCAGAAGCTGCAAAGACTCCGAGCTCCCTGAGGGGCAGGACATTAAAAGGCCCCTGTGGGAAACGAGGAGGACAGCGGAACCAGGGCCCCAGCAGCGCAGTGGACAGTGACAGGCGTTCCGCTCCCTTGGGACGGGAATCCGTTCAAGCGTGCCGAGGGCAGGGGAATGCCCAGACGGCAGGGACGGGCGGGCTGGGGTCTCCGCAGAGGCCGGCGCTGTGAGCCTGGGGGAGTGGGCCGGAAGTGATGACACTGCGGGGCCGCCCATGGCAGGACTTACCCTGAGGGGAATTGGATTCCACCAGGGACAGTGCACTGGCCGTCCCCAGCCCGGCATCAGCATCTCAGAGCCAGGCGAGGCCAGCACGACCACAGACACAGCTGTGGCCTTCTGCTTGGAGACTCGAGGCTGCCTTCGCAGCACTGTGGCCCAAGCCGAGGAGGGTGGACGCAGGAGAGACACCCTCCCCAGGCGCAGGAACCAAGGGGCCTCGGAGAAACTCCATGATGACTAACCCTGTCGTAGCATGGCATTTTTTAAAATAAAAATTAATGCCCCCCACCAAAAAGCAGAACCCGATGAACAAAATTTTAGACTCAGGATGGGGTTATTCCTGGCTCTTGGTTTCAGCCTCCACACCGGCAATGCTCTGGACCGAACCACTGTGAGCCCAGGGTGCAGGAGGGAAGCTTCTGGTTTCTCACCCACCCTCGGCCAGAGCCGTCCAGCACCTGTAGAACCTGCAGAAGCTTGGCACTCCGGGTGAGGGCCCGGCTGGGGGCGGTGGCACCTGCGTGAGCAGCAGCGCCACCTAGCGGGAGACTGCGGTGCCAGGGAGTGAAAGGCGGCACCAGGCAGAGCCGCAGAGATGGCCGGGAGCCACCCAGGAGAGAGGACTTGTCCTTGAACATGGGAGACACCGCTGGGGCAGTGGCAGGGTGCAGCCAGGGGGCGGGGTGAGTAGGTGGTGCTGCAGATGGTAAAAGGACCGGTACAGACCATCACTACAGCTCCCAGAGCCTGCAGCCTCCTGTGCCCAAGACTGTAGTTGAGGGGTAACTGTGAAAACACGGGCCTCCAAGAGGGAGGAACCGCACCCCGGTGCGGAGCTCCACGTGGCAATCCCAGGAGTGGCAGCCCCTGCCCGGTGGAGCCAACCCAGGCCAGAGGGACGAGGGGGATCCAGCTTTGTGGGACCCGGGCTGAGTGTCCGTCAGAGGCGGGGGCAGTCCACTGATGGGCGGAGGGGACCATGGGCGAGGTCTGGGCAGAGCAGGGCTACGGCAGAACTGTGCTTTAGAGAGACTTGTGAGGGGGAATAGGTTGTTTCAGAGACTCTGAATGGGCTCGGTGGTGACACTGTGTGCCTTGGACGCTGGGAATCGTGTGCACCACAGACCACCTATCATCACATCAGCAGCCTTTGAAACCCCGGATGGGGTAGGGGCGGGGGCTTCGGTGTCCACACGGCCTCCTTTTTTTTTTTTCAAAGATTTATTTATTTATTTGAAGTGCAGAGTTACAGAGAAGCAGAGGTAGAGGAAGAGAGAGAGAGAGAGAGAGAGAGAGAGAGAGGTCTTCCATCTGCTGATTCACTCCTCAAATGGCTGCAACAGCTGGAGCTGCGCCGATCCGAAGCCAGGAGCCAGGAGCTTCTTCCAGGTGTCCCATGCGGGTTCAGGGGCCCAAAGACTTGGGCCATCTTCCACTGCTTTCCCAGGCCACAGCAGAGAGCTGGATCAGAAGTGGAGCAGTCGGGACACAAACTGGCGCCCATATGGGATGCCGGCTCAGCGGGTGGCGGCTTTACCCACTACACCACAGCGCCAGTCCCAACCTCTCCCTCCTTCTGTAATGGTGATGATTTGATTCTTTTTCTCTCAAGAGCTTGGGGTGATTTACGCCCCGGGATTTCTTATTAGTATTTTCCATGGGAGACACACACACACACACACACACACACACCCCTCCCATCTTCTTCTCCTACCCCGCATTCCAGATGACAAAGCAAAGACCGCTCAGGGTTACAAGTTACAAGGCAAGACAGAAACCGAGGAAGGGTGGGAGGGAACCGAGGTGCGGCGAGGGTTAACTGCGCTGGATGCCAGGCCGGGCAGGTCATGGTGACAGGGTTGGAATCCCAGCTCATGGAGCCGTCCTAGGGTTCAGAAAGTCCCTCACTGAGCCGACAGCACCCATGCCATCGTTTATTGCGTGTCAGGCCCTGTGATGCTTGGCTTTGCTGTGGGACCCAGAGCAAGTCCCTTTAAACGGTGAGATTTATGTCCCTTTAATCTGCTTTTCAACAAGGGATCACCATGCTTGAAGGACTAAGGCTTTGCCTGGCCCAGGGATGCGGCAGAGTTTGGAAGAGAACCTGGTGTGGAGTCTGGCGGTGCCCGTGGCCCTGCCCTCAGCGGCTTCCTTCACCAGCCAGGGAGGGCAGAGGGTATGCTAAACCCTACAGTGGGATGGCAGGAGGGGGGCCCAGTGGTCTCCGGCCCTGTCCCAGTTTCTTGGGGGCTGAACGGGTGCTTCTTCCCTCACCAGCACAGAGAGGGGCGCACATGAGCCAAACCCACCACTTCCCAGATACCTGGAAGTCAGTCCATGTGCACCTGCGAGACGAGGCAGCCCAAGACAGCCATGGCTGGCAGGCCTCTCAGGAAACCTGGGAGGAGCATGTTTTATGTTTCTAGCCAAAGACCTCAGGCCCCAAACAGGCACAGCTGCCATGGATGCTCACCCCACCCCATGCCGAGCCTGGACCCTGTTTAGAAGTGTGGGTTCCTGAGTGCTGGGCTTTAAGACACGAGTTCGCTCCCTTGGCCCCTCTCCTGTGCCTCCCATTCCTTGCTCCCGGGCACACAGTAGGCAGGTGACAGAAGAGAAGATGTGTATACCAGGGCTGTTCATAAAATTGGTGGAAAAGCAGGTTGAAAGTTAAGTTTATTTGCATGCAAACATTTCTTAAAATCCTTGTGAATTTTCTCAGGATATGCATTTTCTACGAGCCTTTGGAAGACCCCTGGAGTTAGGAAACACAGCCCTGACGCTTCCAACAGTGAAGCACGGGGGCTGGCCTCACACACAGACTGTCCCCTGTGTACACACAGGCCCCAGGACCTCCTCGCCGACACCCAGCCCTCCCTTCAGGCTCAGGGGCCTGTGTGGATTGCAAACAGCCTCGTCCCCACCCGTTCCTTCAGAAAGCCAGCCCCATCAAGTTCATGGTCGCCACTGCTCACCAGATTTGTAAAGAACCACTCTGGGTCATTCTCCTCTCCCTGTGGCCGACGTCGGAGGTGGAGTCGGCACAGAAAGAACTTCTTATTTGTCCTCGAGACCAACAGATCCCTCAGCCACTCACTTTTCCTGCTACGAATTCAGTTTGAGGTTTGCGTTGAGCACCTGCTGTGTACAGAGCGCCGTGTTCATTGCTTAGTGGCTGAGCCTGCTCGTTGGCTGTGTCTTTTAGGCCCCTTGCTGCTGGCCTCAGTTACTGCTACTCCTGTACTTCCAAAAGGAGTTTATTTATGTATGTAGTTATTTAATTTGATAGGCAGAGAGAGAGAGACAAAGAAACAGATGGAGACAGATCTTCCATCTACTGTTTCACTCCCCTAACAAAATCAACAATAACCAGGGCTGGGCCAAGCTGAGGCTGGGAGCCTAGGCTTCTGCGTGTGGCAGTAACCCAGATACGTGGCCCAGCACCTGCCACCCCCAAGGTGCACGTGAGCAGGAAGGTGGAACCGAAAGCAGAGCTGAGACTCGAACCCGGCACTTAGTAGCGGATGTGGCTATTCTAAGTGGCATCTTCAGAGTCAAAGGCCCACCCCTGTAGTTTTGGGTTTATGTTACTTGATTATTATTATTAATTTTTTTGCTTGCGATTTGGGTACTTACATCTCCACTGCTGGGCTTGGGGCCCAAGCTTCCGTCTTACTTAGCTTGGCATTCGGGAGTCACTGGGGAACCCTATGTCGACGGCAGCGCTCCGTTCTCTTACCTAAGCCGTGGCTTCCCCCAGCAAGCTGGTGTCGGGCTCCCCACACAGGTGGCCCAAGGCATCCATCACCTGCTCTCCTGAATCTCCAGGTCCTTGAACGAACGAGGGCCAGGGCTCATTTAGGATAATGTAAAGAGGACCCGTGCATGTGCAGGGCTTGGGGTTTCTTGCTGCTCTCCACTGTGGAAAGCATGAGCCATCTCGGATAAAAATAACCAGCGCCATCCCGGGCCCCGGCTCCTGCAGCCAGGGGCACCCGAGCCTCGGGAATGTCTCGGCACGGCTCAGGGTCACTGGATCGCGGCTGAGAACCAGCAAGCAGGCTCGGGGCGGCTCAGCCTCAGCTGTTTTTAGCAGCGGGATTAGTGGCCAGGGCGCTGAGAGTCCTCCGTGTTTGCACGGCTGGCCCCCGCCATGTACTGAGAGGCACTTCTCTCTGGAGACCCTCAGCTGTCGCGCTGACACGGGCGTGGAGAAACGCGAGGCCGCTGTCGCCGGCCGGGGCCAGGCTGCAGGCTGCACCGGCTTTACCGGATAAGGACATGTTACTCCTATTAGAAACCGTGCCCCTCACGTGTCCTTAAGACGGGGGCCATCTGCCAGCCATAAATCAAAATCTCATCTGTCTCAGATAAAGAAGGCGTCTCTCCTCCCGGCCAGAAGTCCCTTTAGAGCGGACCGATCTATTTTTCAATCCTGTGCTTGAGCAGGTGTTTCTTCTGTAATTAAAAAAATTATAAGAAGTAATAAAAAATAGAATCCCACTGCCAAGAGATTTGAGAATTAATAACGAGATCAGAAAGCCAGAGGTTTTTGTGTAAGGATTACAGGGAGAAAGGAAACAAGTTTCATTCCCTAATACCAGAACAAATCATTAAAAAGAAAGAGAGACTATGTACTTTGAGATTTATTTATCTGAAAGGCAGAGTTACAGAGCGAGAAGGAAAGACAAAGAGATCTTCCATCCTCTGGTTCACTCCCCAAATGGCCACAACAGCCAGGGCTGGGCCAGACCAGAACCAGGAGCCTGGGTCTCCCAGGTGAGTGTCTTGGGTCATCTTCCACTGCTTTCCCAGGCACATTAGCAGGGAGCTGGATGGGAAGTGGAGCAGCCACCACTCTAACCGGCGCCCATATGGTTGCCAGCACTGCAGGCGGAGGTTTAACCTGCTACACCACAGCACCAACCCCAAGGCTCTGTCGTTTAGAAAGGAGAAAGTGATTAGAGATGGCCCTTCATTTGAAGATAGTTAGCTTCCACCCAAAGAAGTGAGCAGAGGAGGAGGGACCTGTCCCCTTCAGTGGCCGTCCATGCTACAGCTGTGTCCAGCCATGCTGGTGGGTGTCGCTATGAGCTGAGGGTCACCCAAGTCCCTCCTGGCTGATCCTGCGGCCTGCATGAGAGGTGCTGGGAGGCAGGGTTACAGCAGAAGTCAGCAGAAGGAACCGGCAATACTTTGGGGTGTATTAGCCTGGTCGCTACATACGGTCCCGCGTACACACTTCCTGCAGGTGGCTCCCGTGTCTGGCCAGGGGCTCAGGTCAGGGCTGTGCAGTGTAGGGCAGCCTCGGGGTCTGGGCAGAATCTCAGCTCCGCCATTCTGACCTTGAGAAAGCTGCTCTGTGTTCAGTTTCTTCTTTGCTTCCTAGGCCGGGGTTGTGAGGCCCGTGTCGTCACTGCTCAGTCTTTCACAGGGGACACGAGGGGGCGCGTGCTGAGTGTGCACCATCAGTGCCAACTTCCTCGGCTCCTGCAGCCTCAGAGTTGTCCAGATTTGTAGCCCAGGCCCTCGTAAGACACACCCAGGGCCTCTTCTTAATTGTATACACCTTAAATTCTGTTAAGCAAGTTCACAGCAAAGATAGCTTGCCTGCTCATTCTTCCTTTCTTGTCTAATTTTTTTAAAAGAGTATTTATTTATTTGAAAGGCAGAGCCACAGAGAAGCAGAGGCAGAGAGAGAGAGAGAGAGAGAGAGCGCACGCGCGCGAGAGAGGTCTTCCATCCACTGGTTCACTCCCCAGACAACCACAACGACCAGAACTGTGCCGATTCAAAGCCAGGAGATTCTTCCAAGTCTCCCATGTGGGTGCAGGGGCCCAAGCACTTGGACCATCCTCCACTGCCTTCCTGGGCCATAGCAGAGGGCTGGATCAGAAGTGGAGCAGCCAGACTCGAACCAGCGCCCATATGGGATGCCAGCACTGCAGGCAGCGGCTTTACCTGCTACGCCACAGTGCCGGCAACCTCTTGTCTAAATATTTTAGCATGTGCTTTTCAAATATAAGGACTGTTTTCAAAAACAGAATTATGGTATCGCATTGCACCAGAAACATGAATGATATAGGAGCCAATTTTGTGGCGCAGCAGGTTAAGCCACCACTTGCAACACCGGCTTCCCATGTTGGAGCGCTGGTTCAAGTCCAGGCACAGGAAGGTAGCAGAGGCTGTCCAAAGTACTCGGGCCCCTGCTAACTATGTGGGAGACCAGGATGGAGTTCCTGGCTTCTGACTTTGTCCAGGCCCAGGTCTGGATGCTGTGGCCATTTGTGGAATGAACCAGTGGATAGGAGAATCTCTCTTTCCCTCTCTCTCTCTGTCTCTTCCACTCTGTCTTTCAAATAAACCTTTAAAAAGTCTTTAAAATGAACAATAATCTCTTGTCATCAAATGTTCAGTCAATCCTCAGATTTCACGAATTAGCATATGTGGGTATATGTCTCCTTTTCACCACTTATTTGAACAAAGCAGGATCCTAACAAGGACCCCACGGTGTAGCTGGTGCGTAGGAGCCTAAGTCTCTTTTCAACTAAAGGCCTCCCTTCCACTGCTTGTATTTATTATTTTTTTTTCTGAGCCATTTACTTATTGGGAAAATCAGACAATTTGTTCAGCCTAATTCGCCACATCCTGGATTTTATTGTTGGCCTCTCGTGTCGCCGTCCGTCCCCTGCGCCTCCTACAGGCTGGCTGGAGTGGCATCCAGAGCTGGAGCAGACCCGGGGTAGACTGATGGGCCAGGATTCACTGTGGGAGGCGGGGAAGCACAGCCCGGCTCCTTTTCTAGTGCCAGCAGCCATAGCTCATTCCAGGGTCCCAGTTCCTGTCCCAGTGGTGCTGTTCTAGTCCTCTCACCCACTCTGCTCATGAGTTGCAACAACTCTGCCATGAGAAGCTCCATGTCCTCTCTCCACTGCCCGCTTCCCACGGGAGGCAACCTCTCTCCACGCTGCTGAACGCTGAGAGAACTGGACTGGCCGGAGCCCTGGCTGGGCCTGGGTCAGACTTGATTTCCGCGACCGGAAGGACAGGCCACTTTTGGCCACTGCGTTGCCATGGTATAGTGGGAGCCAGTCACGGAGACGTGGTCCCTGACTAGCGGTCACCCACAAGCCAAGCCTGGCATCATCGTTACACCCCAGCCCCCTTCCCATTACAACAGAGACTCCCAGAAGGGGGCGCACCTCGTGCTGCACACCGAGAGAAAGCTTTGCCCCACCTGAGTCACGCTGGATCACCGCTTGGTCTTCTGGACTCAGAGAAGGGACCTGGGCAGCTGTTTCTGATACATGTCATTATGACAGCAAGCACGGGATCCCGGGAAAGAACAGGTCAGCCCGGTGGTGAGGCCAATTTCCCGCCATCTTTTCCCTCCTAAGGTTAGGATGCAGTCACCCTGGGTAAGGGGCCAGGTTTTCTGCAGTGCATTTTTTTTTTTTTTTTTTGACAGGCAGAGTGGACAGTGAGAGAGAGAGAGACAAAGGTCTTCCTTTTTGCCATTGGTTCACCCTCCAATAGCCACCGTGGTCGGCGCGCTGCGGCCGGCACACCGTGCTGATCCGATGGCAGGAGCCAGGTACTTCTCCTGGTCTCCCATGGGGTGCAGGGCCCAAGCACTTGGGCCATCCTCCACTGCACTCCCTGGCCACAGCAGAGAGCTGGCCTGGAAGAGGAGCAACCGGGACAGAATCCGGTGCCCCGACTGGGACTAGAACCCAGGGTGCCGGCGCCGCAGGTGGAGGATTAGCCTAGTGAGCCGCGGCGCCGGCCTCTGCAGTGCATTTTTAAAGAGTGCAGGTTGGGCCTAGATCACGGGACCCAGGAGTGGATTTAGACAGCTCTTGTGGGAACCAGGCACCACTTCATCCATCTGTGGATTCCTAACTGCCCAACAGGTACACATCAGACGCATCCCCTGAGAGAAAACAGCAGAAGAATCTGGTTCCTTGCCCACCTTAGGACAGAGTTTCCCCAAACATGACTTCTGTGTTTCCTTTGTATCATATTCAGCAATGACTGAATTAAAAAAAAAACTTTCTTCCCACCACCTACCAAAGCAATAGTTAGCCCATAAGTATTTTTTTTCCTTTTTGAGATAATCTCATGCTTAAACCAAAAGCAATCTCCCCACCTCCTCAACATACTGAATGGAACAAGCCACCTGCGTGCTAAGATTCCAACACTGGACATCAAAAATCACCCAACAAGGAACCACTTCTGCTCGGGGCGAAGGAAAGGAAACGCAGTGAGGCAGCCGCAGATGGAAAACAAAGCCGTTTATTGCCTGTGATGTGGAGTCCCGTGGACGTCAGGTGTAAGGGCAGGGAGCATGAAAACACGCATTCTGCGTGTCCTCTGTCCTGCCCCAGGACACGCTCGCTCACTCTTCACTCTCATGGACAACCATCTGGGGAGACAGCAGGCTTTAGTCAAGTCGGAAGGCAGAGACCCCAGGTCTCCCCCCAACCCAGCCCGTCGGCCAGGGAGCACCCGGGAGTTGCTTGCACGCTTCAGTGAGACATGGGGTATTTATTTTTGGACCCTGGGAGAATGTGTGAGTGCACACACAAAGTCCCCGCAGAGTCTGAGAATCTGGGTCCAGAGAGAGCACGCAGGCCCCTGAGGCTGGGCACCAAGGGTCCTGACCCCCAGCCTGCTCTACAGGGAGCTCTGCCGTGGCCTTCTTTCCACCAGCAGGGGGCGCCTGCCAAAGCTCAGCGGGGCACAGCGCGTTCTCTTCAGGATGGCTGTGTTTTGTTTAATTTTGATGAAAGGGGAATAGAATCTCTTGGGTTTTTTTTTTTTTTTTTCAAAGCAGAGCATCTGGGACTTGAACCAGTGCTCCGATATAGGATGCCCATGCCCCAAAAGCAGTGGCTCAACCAACTGCACCACAAGGCTGGCCCCACAGAGAGACAGAGGGGCATAGCTCCCATCTGCTGGTTCACTCCCTAAATGCCTAAGCCAGCTGGAGCTCAGGTCAAAGCTGGGAGCCGGGAATTGAATCCAGGTCCTGCACCACTCCCGCCCCCTAAGGTCTGCACTAACAGGAAGCTGCGGCTGGGAGTGATGCCAGGACTCAGACCTGACACTCCAAAGTGGGTCCTGGGTCCCTTAACTGCTAGCTCAAATGCCAGCCCCCAGGGTAGTATTTTGTTTTGTTTTGTTTTTTTTTAATTGTGACTTAGAAGACCTGAATTCTAGCAGGGCTCCACTCGGTTAAGCCA